TAATCGCCACCCTTCACCAGGCTCCCGACATGAGTGGGTGTGTGAGAGAGAAGGGGCGCAGAATCATCCAGGTCTGGTGGCGTGTGATGAGGCACACCTGAAGTGAATGGAGCCTCGTCACCGCCGCTGTTAAATGCCGAACGCGCCTCTCCTCGAGAGACCGGTCTCTTCCCCCGTGCATGCACGCTGGTGTCCTCGTGAGTCCAGGAAGGGAGCATTGAGGGATTTCCGGGCCACCGAAGACGCAAGCTGCCGGACCCGTGGTCCGGACGAGAACTGCACCCGTTACACGGCCGTCTGGCCAGCATGCCGGGCCATCTAGTCCCGTCAAACGCTGTGGGCGAAGAAAAGGATGAAGCCGCTGGAAGAAGCTGCAGCCCCTCGCGCCCCGGACCAGAGAGGGGAACGCGTGTGGTTCGCCGGACTCCGCCCCTTGCCTGGACCCTTCCTTCTCGAACACTGCCCCACCTTCACCATTTCCCCGCACAACGAGGACACCAGATCCCCCTTGGGATGCACCAATACTGCGCTCCTGTACTCATACTTGTAAAAATGCCCTGATAGCAAAAGCCGATATCGCACAACGTGTGAATAGAGCTGTGTCCAGAAAAAGAAACACAGAGAACAGAACAACAGAGAGTAGATTCAGGGGCGTGTCTATGTGGTGGCCAGTGGTGGCACCGGCCCCCCCTGAAATCTGGCTGGCCACCCCAGGTGCGATTTTTTTTTATGAATGGGCTCTGCTCTCACTCAGATATTGCGTGTACACGCTCAAACGTTGTCCTCACATCACTGAAGACCAGAAGAGCTTTTTTTTTTCTAATTCAGGTGAAGAGTAGCCTAGGCGTTTCTTACTAAATGGAAGCAAACTGGCTATAGTCAGCCATCTCTAGTTATTTATTTAATTATTTAATACTTATTTTAGTTAAGTGCTTAAATTGTAAATATGCACTTATTTAATTATTTTATTTAGTGCATTTGTATTTTGTTGTTTTTGTAGGCTATAAAATAAAAGCGTACCAACCAGAAACAATCACTGAGGGTGCTTCTGAAATTAGTGAGGGTGCTCTAGTCTTAATGCACATTTTCACATATTTTGTCCCATCTATTGCTATGGTTATCACTATGTCAATCACTACTACTTCGAGAGCGAATCCAGCATAAATAAGCGGATGTCATTCCCGTTTCCCATTGCAACGTGTGTGTGGCCGAAAAACAAAGTTCTACATTTTAAATGAATTATTGCCTAGAAAGCTCGCAAAGAGCGCTCCTTTTTTAACCACTAAAACTGTCACTCTTTGTTCATCTCAATCTCACAAAGTTCTGTTATGACCAGTGAATCTCACACTGCGCAATTAATATATTATTAACATCGTCGTGTATACACTCTGTATGTTATAATGAAAGGATTCGATTGTGATCAGCACAGAACAAAAACTGCTGTGTGTCGTAGCCTTTAGGTAAACCAGCATACATTCATGAGGATGATGAAAGTGTTTTAACTTGAGTAA